ATTTGCTGCCAATTTCCATGGTCGTTGGATGTTTGCCGTCCGAATATTATTTTAAATAGTTTCTAAGGCGAAAATCGGAAGATTTCTAGCTCTAAATTCCAGCTGTTTGCCAATCAAACATTTCCCTCTACATAATACCGATATATGGTAAGAAAAGTGTCTCATATCCCAACAAAAATCAATTCAATTTTTCATTAAAATCCACCGAAAATGTTTAAAGTCTCATTTAGGGTATCCCAAAGTCGTCTCTTGTTACCACATTTCCCCTCTGATTTTCCTACTATTTTTTTGTACGCTCCTGCAGCCACTTGTTAGTGGAATTGCATGCTGGCAGTGTCGACTCGACCCGCGGATGCGTTTGCAATTTTTCCATGTAGTTCGCTGCAATATGTTCTGGCGGGCAACTCACTTTGCATGCCACACGAAACACACAAAAAAATAACGAAGCAAGAAAGGACAGGCAAGGTGTGTGAGTGGAGTCGAGGAAAATGTAAAAAATGAATAAACAAAATCGAGCGACAGGACAACCCGCAGCCAAAGCGTCGGAGAATTGTTGCAGCATATTTTGTGTGTGTGTGTGGCTGACTGGCTGCATATTGTTTTGTAATTTTCGCCATGATTTATTACGCTGGGAAGCAGAGAGCGGGTACTTGGGAGAGTGCACTTTAACAGCTTTAAGGTTTGTGTATATCTATGTCAAAGGACTATCTATCGTTGTCGTAGAGAACAATGGCAAACAAAGCATCATTATCAAAACAGCAACAATTGACACTTCTCAATAGAAGCAAAAATCACTTGATATGTAATGCCTGGTCTGGGCCAGGTCTAGCCCATAAATAAATCATACTGCAGCAGCAGCATAATCCATTGTAAAGTGTCGAAAAACTGCAATTGAAATGCAAATCAATGCAAATCGATACTTGAATCATCATCAGTCGCAGCAGAGAGGCAGCCAACAGCAGAGGCAACATGAATGATTCATGCAACGCACGCGAGCATTATTCAAATGCAAATTTCCCAAATGCAAAATGCAAAATGCAAAATTATCCGAAATGCAAAAATCACAGTGCAGAGAGGAGGGTGCCGCCCCTCTCCCGCTGTGTGTGATCGCAACAATCAAATCCAAATAAATGCACCGCAACACAACACAGGGACACAATGCAGCGGCGGCAGCAATGCCAAAATGTTGCAACAAAGCCAACAAATAAACAAAAAACAAGGCAAACAACAATGCAGCGGGGGGTGGGATGTAGGGAAAGTGCTTGCGGATTTTCGCACTTCCGGTTAACTGTTGCTAATTTGATTAGAGACCCACCAAGGGGCAGGCGCAGGCACTGCAAAGGCAGTGGCTGGGCTGTGGCAGAGGCAGAGGCGTGGCTCTGGGGCGATAAACCTTGCTCTGGCTCTCTGGTTCTCTGTCTCTGGCTGTGTTGCTGCCAACTTATGCAAATTATCTCATGTGATTTATGCCCTGAAACACAGAGTCGGATGCCAGCACCCAGCCAGTAGCCAGACAACTTTCTGCTCCTCTGCCGTAAATTGAATTTGTACCAAATAGTTTTGTAAATTGTTTCACACGCCATGCGATGATTCTGTTGCCCCTGCCTCTGCCTCTGCCTCTACTGCTCTTTTGTGGCCTTGTTTTTCTCATATTCAAATCTGTAGAAATCTTCAGACCCGCACAATCTTTATCCATAAGCATTTCAATCATATCCTGTCAGGTTTCTCATCAGCAAACTGGTTCTTGTGCTTTTGAGTAAACCCTTTCTAAGGCATCCCTTCCTTGAAATATCCTTCCATTGTCATGCTAATTGGGCAGCGGCAGACAGGCAGCAAAGGATTGCTCTCAGCATTTCCCCAGGTAGTGCCGGTTCCGTGTGTCCCTCGCTTAGTTTGTCTTAAATCCTTGCCGTGTGAAGTTCGCTGTGATAACAAGCAATCTCCCCACACAGAGCCACACATTCCCCCAGCCATGTGGCACACACCCCCTCCCACGAACCCACGAACCCACGAACCATGACAAACATTAACACGGCCTCTGACGCAATTTAACACCAATTACAATATCCGTTACATCTAATTATTGTTGAGCGGCCGCCCAAGACGTTCACTAAATTAAAGGAAAACACAGAAGGAAGAACGAGAATAAAAAAAACAGAGCCCAGGACATGGGTGGCGCCATTTGTGGTTGCCAGGACATTAACAATGGCAACTGGCAGTGCCAGTGGCCAGTGCCGGGGCAAATGGCGGCCATAAAACAACAGAAGAGAACAGCGAACAGAGCACTGAGCGAATCCTGTGAGCGATCCATGAAACATGAGAAGGAAGGAAGCAAAAAACGTAAGAAAACATCCGTGTGGGTGGTACAGCCAGGAGGGGGAGTGTAGCTGCTGGGGCGAGAACATTTCTTAATTTCCAACAATTTACGCTGAAAGCTTTCTACGCTCAAATGACGACGACTGAGGAGAGACCAGCAGGACGCAGGACGCAGGACGCGACGCGACGATGATGATCTAACGCCATTATTTTCAGGGCAAACGACAGGCAGTTGTTAATGGGGCTTACCACTTAAGCGCGACGGCATAAAATAAACATGCTCCCCCCTCAGACCACTCTCCTACAGCCTGGGCCTTGTCCTGCCTGCTGGCGGATGTCCTGTGCCTGTGCTGGCAAATTAATTAACATGGCGTGCGTTTGCTTCCAGCTCTCTGTCTCTTCCTCTGTGCTTTTCTTTTGCTGCTTGTTTTTCTTGTCTTTTGGCAGTGCTTTTTTTCACTGTTGCTTTGGCTTAATTGTGGACCAGCGTCTGGTGAGTGTCCTTCGTGTCTGGCTGGTGGGTGAACATTCCCGGGGGCAGTTTAACAATTAAGAAACGTTTAAAGTTCGCTGAATTTGGGATGCTGCGTTCCCTTTTTGATTACGCAGCAGGCGGCAGGGGCAGTGGACTTGGACCAGGAAGTGGAACCATTCCGGCAGGACATTGAGCATACGCGGCACGTTGCCTACATCCGTTTGACACCTTTTGTGGCACAGGAAATGAGCTGGGCTGTACGTGACTTGTTTTCGTTCTCCAGCGACGCGTTTCTCCGACTCCAAAATTGGATTTGCAAGTGCAAATGAAGTCATGGAACGGGGTACACCGAAGGCGTCTTTAAGTTGACCCGAAGCGGGGTCCGTTTTCCGTCTCCTGTTTAAAATTCCAAATTTGTGCACTCGCTCAATTTCCTTCCATTCCGAAATTCCCAGATGTAATTACCTGCCCAAAAAGATTTGATGTGGCAACTGCGGCCGCCGAACTCCGGCAATAATTAGTGTCCATTCAAATGGGGCGGCACGGCACGGCACGGCACGGCTACGTGCCAAACACAACGCCCTGCGGCAAGGACGAAGCCACGCCTGGCATAATTGCAATTAAAATGTTTGCCTGGCACTTCTCTCTCGCTCTCTCTTTCATTCTCTCTCTCTTTTTCCGCTGCTCCTCCTGCGCGATTGAGAAGTGCAAACACTTTGAGGCAATTGCCGTGAACAGAAATAATAACAGGAAGAAGATTGTGCAAATTAAAATATAATTAGAGACAAACAAGGACGAGCAAAAGGCATCGCAAAGGAATCGCCCTTACACCAAAGTAGGTGGCGCCGCCTGGCGTTCGGCAGCTGCATAACGCTTACGCACTTTCCAGTGGAAGTTTTTTTTTGGCTTGCCTTCCTGTCTCTCTCTCTCTCTCTCTGTCACTCCTCTCGCTCTTTGTGCCTACTGGCAGAGGGAGAAGGCTGCATAGGGGTGGAAAGTACGAGAGAGTGAGAGAGGGAGACTGAGAGCGCGCGCGGGCCACCTGGAAAACTAACGAGCAAGTAATTTTGTGGGCCAGCTAATGCCATGTCCGTGCTCCTCCTTGGCAGCGTCTTTAAATGTTGCCTTGGCTACTTTAAGCTGCCGTTTTTCCTTACTCTACAGCAGGGGAGCAGCACTCCGCTTGGAGGTGGGCTCTAGCTCTGGCTCTGACTCTGGTTCTGTTTTTCAGGGGTAGTAGGCCTGTGAGGGTCGTTTTTTTTTTGGGTTCTGTGTCCACAGGCCACACCTTCCTTCAGGGGTGGGCTTTTACTTTTGTTTGCCTGGATTTTCGATCGAAAAAAAAAACGAAGAAGGAAATGCGTACGAAAATAAACGCACAAAAAAACGTCGAAAAAATTTGGAAAAAATCCAAAATAAAATAAAGGCCCGGCGAATGCGTGGAGGAAAGAAATGTGCGCCGAGAATCTGCTTTATGAAAAATGTCAAAAACTTCAAAGTGAAAATGCAAGCAAAATGAGAAAAATATTCACTTGAGTGCGCTTTTCTTTTGCTTTTCTGATGTTTTGGGCCCATTGTTCGGGCTGTTGTTGTTGCTTGGTGCCTGCCTGCTTCCTGGCTGCTGCCTGCCTGCTGCTGTTTGAACTGTTGTTGATAGCCTTTATTAGTTGTTGGCCCAAAGCTTAGGCGCTTACACATTGCTTTTCTCCCACTGCCACTGCCACTGCTACAGTCACCCCCGCCCTGGGGCACTTCCTGCTTCCTGCTCCTAAATTTCCGCGCTAAGGACACGAACACAAGGACTCCACAAGCTGGCGGCCGTGCCCCGTGCGCTCTGTAAATAGATATAAATATTTTCCTGCTCTCTGTCTCTGCCAATCTTCGCTTTTCTCGTTTACATTCTTTGTTTTTCATTCGTTTTTTTTAATAAAAAATTTTATATTAAATCAATTGCGTGGAGATTTTTCTTGCGTTGGGGGTGGGGCGGTGGGAGGTGTCGTGTCAGATGTGTTCATGCATAAAGTTGGGGAGTAAGAGGCATGGCATAGCCTTGATATAACCATTAATCGATAAATCGATTCCTTGGCTAATTGTTTTCATTAAGTTGTCAATATTTTGACACCAAACTGTCGGGCAATGATGGCCTATAAAAGGGGATTTTTGTGGAGAAAAAGTGGCATAAACTTCATAGAACTCTGATAGATACAAGTTAAAGTTAATCCCTCTAGAAACCAGTGAAAAAACTTCCATATAGCCATGTCTGGGGTACCACTTGAACGTTACTGCAAGATCAATCGCACCATTCGCTTCTGTGTGGGTATCTGCGGCAATGATGTCATTCCCGAGGACTATCGCATGTGGTGGCTCACCTACATGGTCATTGGTGCCATTTTCTTCTTCTTTGGCTGCACAGTGTACACGGTGTATGTGGGCGTTGTGCTCGAGGGAGATCTCACAGTGATACTCCAGGCCTTTGCCATGGTTGGCTCTGCCGTGCAGGGCCTCACCAAGCTGCTGGTCACCGCCAGAATGGCCGCTGAGGTGCGGCACATCGAGCGCACCTACGAGTCCATCTACCGGGAGTACGGGCAGCGGGGCGGGGACTACAGCAGATGCCTGGAGCGGCGCATCAAGACGACGTGGCACATGCTGATGGCCTTCATGTGGGTGTACATCGTGTTGGTGGGCGGTTTGATTGCCTATCCGTTCTTTTTTTTGATCTTCTACCACGAGAAAACCCTCGTAATGCAGTTCCGTGTGCCGTGGATCGACGAGAGCACCGATGGTGGCTACCTGATGCTCATTTCGACACACGTAATTCTCCTGTCCTTTGGCGGCTTCGGCAACTTTGGCGGCGACATGTATTTGTTCCTTTTCATTACCAATGTGCCCACGCTGAAGGATATATTCAATGTCAAGTTGCAGGAATTCAATGCTGTGGTTGTACTGCGAAAGGACTACCAAAGGATGAAGACTCAACTCTGGGATTTGCTGGCCTGGCATCAGCAGTATGTGAGGTGGGGTCTGTGCACTCTCCCCCCCAATTTATAGCTTCATTTTGTGTTTTTTTTCTAGCATTCTCCGAGCTACGGAGCGCATCTACAGAATCATTTTGTTTGTCCAACTGTCCACCGGTTGTGTCAGCATTCTCTGCACTATATCCTGCATCTTCATAGGCGCCTGGCCCGCAGCACCCATTTATCTGGTGTACTCCTTTATAGGCATGTACACCTTCTGCGGACTGGGCACCATTGTGGAGAATTCGGTAAACTTTTCTCTGTCTTTGTTCGTTGATTAAATTTTAGTTTATTGCGTTTGCAGAACGAGGACTTAACCACGGAGATCTATGCCAATTGTTTGTGGTACGAGCTGCCTGTCAAGGAGCAAAAGTTGGTAATTCTCATGCTGGCCAAGTCCCAACACGAGATCTCCCTTACCGCCGCCGATGTGATGCCGCTGTCCATGAACACGGCCCTGCAGCTGACCAAGGGAATCTATAGCTTCAGCATGATGATGATTACATATTTGGGTTATGAAAAATAGAGAGGAGATGCACTGAAGATGTTTAAAAATAAATTACAGAAAATAGTTACCCTGTGCACCTTAAATCCATTCGAAATTGATCATTTTATGTGGTAATTAATTCAATTTTCCTAACAAAAATTGATTTTAGCATTTAAAAATGTTTCAAACATTTCTAAAACATTTATAAAATATTAATTGAAGCTTGATTGAAGGATCATGGTAGCAAATACATCAATTACGCAGATCCTTTGGCTGCTACAAGTTTCCTACCACAAAGCACTGCCCTTCCCCCTGCAACACGCATCTCCAGTCCTCAGCCTCTCTCCTTTGTGGCATCCGTGGCCAAAGCTGCTGATTAATTTTTGCTCTTTGTCTAATGAACTTCGCGGCAAGAATTTAATAAACAGCCCGGCTCGGCTCTTTATGGCCACCACAAAATAAAAAGAAATGATGGCTCCCTCCTGCCGCAGAGTCTATAAATGATAGGATAGTAAAAACAGTACAAAAAAATACAACAAAAAACCTACAAAAAACAGAGAGAAAGCAGCGCACACAGAGCCGCAAGTAAATGAGTGAGAAAAAGTATGAAAAATCATCGCTCTGGTAAGTTGTAAAAATTGTCTTTTAATGCCGCACAAATCCAGCAGATTGCCACGTAGTGCTAATAAAATAAAGTTATGTCCGTGGTGGTGAGGGGAGGACAAAAAGAAGCAAAAACCTCTCCCGCCAAACGCACTGGAAATTCCACCTAAATAGTGTCCACACTCCTCCTCCTGCTCCCCCTGCTGATGCTACTGTGTACATTCAGCTCCTAAGAATCCACACACAAAAAAATGGCGTTGAAAATTGAGTGCGCGGGCGCAGGATGATGGCCGGAGTAGGCGGGCAGGGGAGGGGAGCTCGGTAAACGCATCATTAATCAAATGTCCGGAGCGTAAGCACCGTTATTCATCATTGCTTATGGATAAGGTGCCACCACCATGCCACCACCCCAAGCCCCAGCTCCCCGGACCACTTGAATCCTCTCAAGGCAGTCGGCATGAGTCGCCATATTCGTTGTGTTCGTTTGAAGGACTTTCTTGAAGGACTTTCAGCTTTTCGGAACTTGGCATTTAATGATTGAGGCACAGGAAATGATGCAACCATAGGCTGTACTTACATTTTGAGATATTTTTTGCGCTGTTTTTGAAGATCTGTTATGAAAAAGGGGAGACGCATTAATGGATGGAAATATTTTGGAAAATTTCTAGCAAAAAATAAGTAGATTTATAATAATTGGCAGGGTTAATAGGCAAGGATCTAGAGCAGCTTTTGGAATAAACAAATTAATTGCAGTGCACTCAAAATTCGTTGCAGAGCCACACAATTTTTTTTATCTAAAATTTCTGTACAATTTTTAAACTTCTGGCTAAGCCGCACCACACACACAAACGCACACACACGTGTCTCAAGTCCAAGAAAATCCACAAAATAATACAGACTCTGGAGTAGGTTTTTCTCTCTCTCTATTGCCAGATATTTCACTATTGCTCTCCCACACTCTAATCACTTTCTCCAGCCACCCTAATGGCGCATATCAATTTGGCTCAGCCACGTGCTGATGATTTCTTTCCTTTCCTTTCGCTTTTACTTTTTTTTATATATTTATTTAATTTTTTGTTTGGGGTTTTATTTTTTCTGAAGAGCGCGCCGCTTGTGGTGTATATTTTTGCGGCCTGAAAGTGCGAGACAGGACATCATAAATCAGCGGCTACATTGCACAGAGAATCATCAAAGAGGCGACAACTTTTAGCGGGACAAGCAGCAGCAGGACGAACAGGAACATCAACAGAAAGCTGTACACAGGAACTGCTAATGGAGTTTTTACATTAGAGATTGTTTCCCATTGACTGGATTCTCCTGGTTTTTATCGCAGCTTCAACATCGAAACGCTGCTCTAACACCCCTTCAAGTGTCAGTTACATATTGTCGGAGACAACAAAACGCTTTTCCATCAGGCCAAGGGGCCGGGGGGAAAAACAGGAACAAGAAAAAACATTGAAAAAAAAAGGTTAGAACCGAAAAAATTTGCATACACAGCAGCAGCAGCGGCAGCAACAGCAACAACAACAGCAGGAGTATCGGCAGCTGGAACAGGATGCTGCGGATGCGTTATTTTTTTTTTGCCGCTGTTGTTGTGGTTGTCTGTCCAGGAAGTGTGCACATTGAAAGGTTTTCTTTTCCGCTTTTACTCTCATTTTTTTGGGTGTAAAAAGCATTGTAGTCAAAGTAAAAATGTTGTCTATTAATTGGCCAAAAAGCTGGAACTCAAAGAGCAAGAGAGGTCGCCTCATGGCTCGACAGCTGCCGCCCCAGTACCACCCCAGACAGTGGCAAAGGCAGGGCCATTGGCAGTGCCAGAAAAAATTCCCAAATTAAATATAAATTATATGCAAATTCAAATTGAGTTTTTCCATTAACCCCTTGACTCGGCCGAGCTGGAAAATAATATTTGGTTACACTTTTGGGTACTGTAGCTGGTCCTGTTCCTGCTCCTGATTCACATCACGTCGACGTGTTTAAGTACGCATCATTTGCTGTTTTGCTTGTCATTTAATTGGTTTGGCTCTGGGCAACACACACAGGTACACTCCTGCCACGTAACAACTAATTTATGCCATCCTGACATCCTTCCTACTCCTTTGGCTGCCACAAAGGGTTGAGGTTGAGGCCACTCGGCGAGACGTTTTTCCTTTTTTCTTTGGCACGTTGCACGTGCAACGCCGTGCGAGGAGTTGCCTTATTAATTATTATTCTAATTAATAAGACGCAGATGATGATGCCGCGAGGGTACAAGAAAAAAAAGGAAGCCTGTCCTGGCAATTTGCATATGAGTGACACAACAGGACATTTGCTTCCTGTCACGCAGGGCACCCGATGAGGAGCACACAAAAGACGCGACACGGCAGCTAGAGGCACGTTCTCCCTTCCTCTCTGCTCTCAAAGGAGAGCAATCTCATGCATAATGCAAGTGAAAAGGCCCGTGAGAAACTCCCAGGCTGAAAATTATAGTACCCGATGCAGAGTATCCGCTCACGGGCAGCTGTTCTTCTTTTTTTTGCATCGGATTTTGCTCAACAGGTTTTCGACTTTATCCATCAATTTGGCATCAATCAACGCCCAAACAATTTGCACAACATCCACAAACTATTATCCTCTCTAAACACTGATAAACACCCTGCCAATACCCACCAATCCGATACCGAAGCGATCCGATCAACCCTCCTATCGATTTGCTTTGCCAAAAATTGCCAGAGTCAAATGTCAAAGCAATTAAGTCGCAAAATCAAATCGATTTGCCTGCGTGCCATTGTCTGCTCTCTCTTTTGTCACTGCTGCATTATCAGTGTCATGTTTGCTAATTCCCTTTGTCGAGCTGTTTGCCATTTCACTTTCACCTTTCGCCTCTTTCCTTTTGTGTGCCAATCGGCGAGGGTTGCGGCTGAGCCCTGGTCCTGGCCAAAAAGTGTGCCAATTTCTGTTCCCCTTCTAATTATGAAGTGAAGTTATGACAGGAGCAGCAACAGCAACAGCAGGACTAAGCCACACTTCACTCTCTCCTAATGACTGTTGATTGTAGGGCACAGGGTAGAGGGGGTGCCGCAAAGAAAGGCAAAACAATTATTTGGAAATTTCTTTCATTTCATTTCATTTGTTTTGTTGTTGTTGTTGTTATTCGTTTACCGTTGCTGGGGAATCTCGGTTTAACCTGGCGACCGTTCGTCCTTTGTTTTTTCATAAAAACAATTTTCTTTATGGCGAAAAAACGGGGCTTCAGAGCGGCTCAACGAAATTGGTTTTTACAAAAAATATTTCACATTTCAATCTGCCCCACACACACACACACACACACACACACACACACAGCGCCCTGCCCTACCCATTTTTGGGCTGCCTTCAAACTTATAATAAAAGCCACAGTCCTGGTCTCCTGTATCCTCCTTTTGGCTGGGCCACCGCACATTGTTGGCTTTTTTACTGTCCCCACAAATAACAATCAAAATATCCAAGCCCACACCCACATCTGGCGCTGGCCTTTGGGGGATAAGACGTTGTGTGTCCTGCGGGAGGCTCTTGCTTGGCTCTCCCTCAGGACTGTGGAAATTACAGGTGCCTAATGCAAATTTGTGTGGCATTTTTCTTACTTTTAGCGGGATAGAAAACCAAAAAAAAAAAAAGAGAGAGAAGTAATATTCATTTTTGCAGCATTTGCAGAAAATATTCGTCCAAATATATTTCTGCACAGCTTCGTCCTGTCTGTCCTGTCCGTCTGTCTGTCTATAATTTTTGGCTTGGATTTTTGATTTTGATTTTGATTTGCGTTGCTTGATTGTCATCATTTGAGGCTGGGGGAAGGCAGGAAGGAAGGCAGAAAAAAAACAGATTTGCCTCCAATCAACGTGGCACTTAATTTCGTTTATTTGATTGGATTTGTGTTTACATGGCTGCGCCCTCCAGTCGAAACCCTGCTCGCAGACTCAGCGCTGAGAGTGGGCACAGACATGTGCACTCTGGTGCAGAGTGTGGTGCTGCCCGAAATTCGTTGCAAATTAGAAAATCAAATCACTTTTAAGCCGGACCCCACACGCCGTTGGCAGAATTTTCTGCGGCACGTTGGCTTTTCCACCGACAATTTCCTTTGAAAACTCAGGGGGAAGGGTCACCTTTTGGCTCTGACAATTTGAAATAACTTCGCTGTAGCACGCAACGTGCCACATTAGCTTTAAGTTGCACGCAACACACACACAAAATTTATGAATATTGAAAAATTAAATCGAAATATTCTTCGAGCATCGAGAAGGCTCTCCCTTGTACACCCTCAACAAAGCACCCACAAAAAAAGCTAACAAAAAAAAAAAACATGGCCACGGAAGTGGTTGTTGTTGTTGCTATTGCTTCTGCTTATGCCTGATGTGAATATTTTTTTTCAACCATTTTTCCAATGATGGATTTTTGAAATTTTAATGGTTGCCCTTCGCCCACCG